CATGGACGTACGAGCGACGTCCATGACCATGCCAATGCGGCGCTCAGCAATCCCATTTTGCTGTGGAGAGGCCGGAAGCGTGAAGGTCTGGCGGATGCCCTGTGCACGACAGAAGGCTCCCAGACGGGCAGAGGAAAACTCCCCGCCTCTGTCAGAGTGCAGACGCAGAACAGGAAAGTCCGAGCCGAAACTCTCTCTGAGCTGGAGACGAGCTGCGCGGATCCAGTCGATCAACACCTCAGGGATGTCACCCTTGCTGCGCAAGGGGAACACCGTGGTGTAACGCGAGTAGTCGTCAACCACCAACAGGAAGTAACGCTCGTGACCCTGGCCACGGACGCGGGCGGGGCCCCACACGTCCATGTGAAGAGTCTGCAGCGGAGCCTCTGTCGGAGGAAACTCGGAGGAGTGAGGGGCGGCGCGCTGTCGCCCCTCGACGCAGGGGACGCAGGTAGGGGCAGGCCCCGGAGGTAGGGGAGGTAGGGACCGGGGGAGACCAGAGACAAGGACACGGGAGGCCATGCCTCGGAGACGAGGCAGGGAGGGGTGACCAAGGCGGTGGTGCCAGAGGAGAGTCTGGTGGGACAGGAGGCGACACGAGCAGGGCGCAGACTCAGGACCAGACCTGGACGCTGCAGCAAACACCTGACTCGATGCAGCTACCTGACCAGACTCAGTAACCGGAGGAGACTCAGTAGTCAGTGTGTACAGGCTCGACCCCGGCCGACGGGTAAACGTGGCCAAGTGTCGGCCCGTCCGAGCACACGTGCAGTGGGTCACCCGCTGACTCGCAGGAGTGAACTGGTCAACCCCCCTATCCTGTAGATCAGCTCCACTCACCAAGTTCGTAGAGAACGAGGGGAGGTAGAGACCTGACAGGGTGCCAGAGGGGGCTGCCGGGCACGGTAAGATAGTGGAGAAGCTAGCAAGGACAGGACCCCCAGAGGGGTCCGCCAGGGAGACCGCAACCGGCCGACTAAGCGGCGTAAGCGTGGTGCGGTCTCGAAAGAAGGAGCGGGAAGCACCCGAGTCAAGGGTGAAGGTGTGTAAGGCCTGAGCCGACGTGGTACCTGAGAGAGCAGACTCACCAGCACCTGGAGCAACAGACGCACCAGCACCTAGAGCAGCAGCCTCACCAGCACCAAGAGCAGCAGCCTCAATGCCCGGGTCAGGCGGAACACACAGGTAACAGTCACCCTCATCACTAGTAGACACCCTGTTTTCCCGGCTCACTCCTATACTCACTCTCTCCCTCCCTGCTCACTCTCTTCCCCCCTGCTCACTCTCTTCCCCCCTGCTCACTTTCTTTCCCCCTGTTCTCATCCCTCTTTCCCCCTTTCTCACCCATTTCCCCCCTGCTCGGTCTATTTCCCCCTGTGCTCGCCCCTAAAATCCCCTGCTCACTCCCTTACCCCTTGTTCACTCTCTCCCCCTCTGGTCACTCTCTTTCCCCCTGTACTCACCCATCTTTCCACCCTGTTTACTCTCTATTCCCCTTTGTTCAACCCTTTTTCCCCCCCAAGTCCTCTCATTTCCCCTCCTTAGCCCCATGCTTACTGGCTATCCCCTTTGCTCACCGCCTTCTCCACCCTGCTCTGCTCACTCTGTTCCCCGCTTCGCTCAGTCCTCTGCCTAACTCCTCCCATACATGCCCTCCACCTTCACCCCTCGCTTATTCTGCCATATCCCCTCTTCCCTCCCCGTTCCATACAGAACCATGCGTGTACAGGTGCCAGCACCATGGGTCCCAACAGGAGTGGGTTAAAAAGTTACCACCTCCTAGCTTTGTGCTTGTGCTTATAGTCTTGTCTTGGCAACATAAATGGAACATTATTTTGCTTTGTTGCACTTTTTCATAATGCTCCAAATCACGATGTGGTGTATTATGAGACGCATCCAACCAACTTCAATAACGGTACATGGCATAGCTATTGTAGACAACTAATATTATCAAACCCTATACTCATCACAACTGGATGCATGGCAGACCTGCACAGACACGAACCACCAACTCTGATGGAGGGTGGGGAACAAAGAATGCACGGAGGCAGAAAATGAGCAAGGGAGACACGGAGGAAGGGCGGAAGGGTGAGCGAGATGAAGCGTGGGTAGGGGAGAGAGCACGGAAAGGCACTAAGGCAGAAGCGTGGGCGACGGTGAGAGGATGGGCGGATGAGAGGATGGGCGGATGAGATGATGGGCGGATGAGATGATGGGCGGATGAGATGATGGGCGGATGAGATGATGGGCGGATGAGAGGATGGGCGGATGAGATGATGGGCGGATGAGAGGAAAAAGTGCGGCTGGGTACAAGGGGGAAGGTAGAAGGGTGGAACGGAGGAGCAGGGTTGGCGAGAGGAAGGGAGTGGGAGAGTGGGAGATGGAAAGGGGAAGGGGGACTGGATCGAGGGAGGATGAGGAGAGGAAGAATGGCAGGAAAGAAGGATGGGAGGAAGGGAGGACGGGCAACAGAGAGGGTAAAGAGGGTAGGGAGGCAGAGAGATGGAGGAAGGGAGGAAGGGAGGACGGGCAACAGAGAGGGTAAAGAGGGTAGTGAGGCAGAGAGATGGAGGAAGGGAGGTTTGTTTTCTGGTAACCAGCCTGGCTCGGGAGGTCAACTGTGGGTTCGGTAGGCAAACTGTACACAGTTTGCCTTCCTTATTTAGAAAGCTTGCTTTCTTGTGTTTGCAATGGCAACGAGCTTCGTTTCAAATGGGCATTACATCATTCTCGTCCGGGATATATATGGTACCTACATTACACATGACAACATGCAATTTTTGCTAGGGTGGGTGGGTGGGAAATAAGACATTTGAAATTTCAAACGAAGACGTGGGTGGAGGCCAAATGGCCTCCACCCCCTGCTATATAGTTGGCGAAGAGCGTCTAGCACTTCGCCGTTGCCATTGCTGCATTACAAGCAGCTTCGCTTTCAAAATACACATTTTTAGAAAGTGTTACACATTTTCAAAAAAAAATCATATTTAGAAAGCTTGCTTTCTTGTGTTTGCAATGGCAACGAGCTTCGTTTCAAATGGGTCTTCTGATACATGAGACGGGGAGATGCTGCGGAGACGGTAAAGGTTGTTGATGGTTTATGCGACGACATGTTGGTGGAGTTCCAATCATGCGCGAAGAAGAAGGCTGGCACCGATGTTGATCGACGTGCAGTATTCTCTGCTGTTGCCTTGGAGTGTCGCCCTAAGTGAGTGTAGCACAGTAGTGGTTACTTATAAGCGTTGGCTCACACGTGAGCTTCGGACACGAACTCGCAAGCAGTATGGGAGGACACGGGCAGCGGGCGTTAGTATTCTGAGTAATGATGGATGTGATGCTTGTAGGAGCCCAACCCTTGCTGCGGTCACAACCGTGCTCACATTACGAAGCGTGCATGCAACTTGTATCCGGATACGGTAAATCTGTCAAGGTTTAAGCCTTTGGTATTCGTACTCATCTGCTATAGTTGTGCACCATCTCAAACTCACCAAAATCTTGTTCAACCAGCCAACTCAAATGTGATCGCGTCTAAACCTTGCACTTTGGGCTTTAGCCCTGGTATTTGACCAATATATAACTAAACTCACGAGCCAGAAAGGGACCCACCGGTCCTCCTCCCCCCTGGGGAGCTCGCTGGCCAGCACCGCACAGGACCCACCGGTCCTCCTCCCCCCTGGGGAGCTCGCTGGCCAGCACCGCACAGGACCCACCGGTCCTCCTCCCCCCTGGGGAGCTCGCTGGCCAGCACCGCACAGGACCCACCGGTCCTCCTCCCCCCTGGGGAGCTCGCTGGCCAGCACCGCACAGGACCCACCGGTCCTCCTCCCCCCTGGGGAGCTCGCTGGCCAGCACCGCACAGGACCCACCGGTCCGTTTCCGGCTGGCGCGAGGCCCCCGGTCCCAATCTCCCACGGGAGCGCATGGGTTGTGCCAAATGTTTTGCCGCAGTCTTTCTTCGCCGGTAGTCTTTCATGGCGACCCAAAGGTAGTTGCCTCGCACCGATTTACTGCGATAAAAAATAAGAAATAGCATGAGAGAAAAACGCAGACGAACAAGAATCGAAGATAGGAACGAAGAAGAGGTGGGAACATATGCAAAGTAATAATTTATTCTTGGCAAATTTCAACATCAGAAGCGCATCTGCCGCCAGTTTGTCTCTGGCGCGCCACTGGAATCTCGCCTTCTGGAGATTTCGCCATCATGCCTGCTGGTACCGACTTCCGCTGGACGCGCCCCTGGGTTCTTGCACGCCACTGGCGATTTCGTAGCCACATGCGGCAGTGGCGATGTTGACCATTTCGGCGCCATGAGCGCCACTGGCGCCACTTGCGCCGCTGACGATTTTGACTCCACGTGCGCCACTGGCGATTTCACCACGCGCGCCTGTGGCGATTTCGTCGCCACGCGCGTCGCCACGCGCGCCTGTGGCGATTTCGTCGCCACGCGCGCCTGTGGCGATTTCGTCGCCACGCGCGCCTGTGGCGATTTCGTCGCCACGCGTGCCTGTGGCGATTTCGTCGCCACGTGCGCCAGTGGCGCTGTCGCCTTATTAGCCTCGACGTGCGCGCCTATTGTGCGGACGGGTGTACCCGCAAGACATTTCTGAAACGTGTGTTGTGCTATGTCAATCTAGTTAATGCCTACTATTTTAAGAGAGAAGTGAGCGACTGAGGAGAACGGGAAGTCGTCGGACGAGAATGAAATAAGACATTTGAAATTTCAAACGAAGACGTGGGTGGAGGCCAAATGGCCTCCACCCCCTGCTATATAGTTGGCGAAGAGCGTCTAGCACTTCGCCGTTGCCATTGCTGCATTACAAGCAGCTTCGCTTTCAAAATACACATTTTTAGAAAGTGTTACACACTTTCAAAATTTTTCATTTTTTGTAATTCAGGTCTTGGGCTTTAAAAAAACCATTTTGAACCAAGATGTTTTTGCACCCAAAATTCACAGCCAAAGCCTTTCGATCCCGCAATCCCCTCTGCATCAACACAATCCTCCCATGGCTACATTTCTGTTTTCGCGCCACAATCCTCTCTCCGCGTCCGCCTTTCTTCCCGTCTCCCCCATTCGCCCAAACCCCCCGGCTCTGCTTTTGCTCCCCTGCCGCTTCATACCGCCTTGCTTGCGTGCGTCCGCCCGCTATGGCGGAAACTTCTTCTCTGCGGAGGTCGTTCCGCGCGGACTTAGCGCAGGGCCTTCCCGCCATCGCCGCGGTAAACCCCATCGCGCTTCGTCGAGGAGAAATCCCGAACGAGCGGCTCGCGCAAGGAGTCAACACGCGGAACGCGCGGGAGGAGCGGCGGCAGGCGCGGGGGAAGAACACGCGCGGAAGGAGGGGGTAAGCGGAGATCACCTAGCGGGGCGGACGGTGCTAGTGACGGCGCCTGCGCCGTACGATGCGGCGCTGAGCGCGGCAGTGCGCGCAGCAGGCGGGGAAGCAGTGGCGTGCAGTATGGTGGCGACTGACGTGGGCGATGAGGCGTGCCGGCGAGCAGTGGAACGATTCCTTGTGGGGGCTGGGGGCGGGCGGCAGAGCGAGGACGCTGGCGGGGCGAGTGAGGGAGTGAGTGAGGGAGTGAGTGTGGGAGTGCAGGATGTGGCAGCCATAGCGTTCACATCGCGCAATGGCATCACGGCCTTTGCGAATGCGGTGCAGCGACTGCCACAGCACGCGCTGCCAGCTGCATGGAGAGCAACAGTCGCTCCCAGCCAACCCCAGCAACCCCTACAACAGCAACAGCGACTGCAGCAAAGCGAGGAGGAACAGAGGCAGCAGGACGAGCAGGAACATCAGCAGCAGAGCACCACACCCCTCAGCACCGCGCCATGCTCTCCTCTCCTCATCGGCGCTCTGGGCCGGGACGCCGAGCTGCTCTCCTCTCTCGGCCCCATCGTCTCCCACCCCTCCACACGCCTCGTCCTGCCACCTGTCGCCACGCCATTGGCCCTAGCAGACGCCCTGGGTCCAGGGGACGGGCGCATAGTAGCATGCCCTGTGCCGCGGGTGGAAGGGCTAGAAGAACCCCCAGTGGTGCCTACTTTCCTGCGTGCTTTGGAGCAAAGAGGCTGGCGAGTGCTGCGCATTGACTGCTATGTCACCCGCTGGACTGGCACCCGTGCCCTCATGCCCGTTCTTGCTGGTGCCATTAATTCGCAAGGCGGGGGAGATACTAGTGGGGACGGAGAGGGAGGTGAGTTGGGTGAGTTACGAGCAGCAGAAGGGGCGGTGAACATGCACCCGTCAGTGGCTGCCGTGGTGTTCTCAAGCACAGCAGAGGCACAGGGCTTTGTGGCCTGCTGCCATGCCATGGGTGTGCACCCTCTGCGCTTCCTGGGCAGACACGAATCGCAACCTCCTCATTCCCCTCCTGGTGTTGATGCTGCAGACGGCAGTGGGGTGAGCAGGCGGGGGGTGGTGGTGGCAGCGCACGGGCCGGTGACAGCGGAGGGGATGCGCAATGCGGGGTTGCCTGTGGACGTGGTGAGCCAGCAGTTCAGCAGCTTTGCAGGTGTTGTGGATGCCCTTGCTGCACATCTTGCTCACTTGGATTGAAGATCACGAGGAGTTACCATAGATTGAACTGACTTGCAACGCAACTTGCTCTTCTGCTCCAAAGCGGTTGGATTCAGTACTGCAATGCAAGACATGAGCACTGGCATGGGATGTCCGCCCAGCATTACTTGTTTGTTCACCCCGTTCTAATTATAGTAATAACAGTCTGCCGTATGAGGTATCAAGCTCCTCTGCAGATACAAGGTATCACCCACTTGCATTTGATGCGATTACATTTGTCATCACTGAGGCAAACTGTCAATCAGTACCGTAGGAGGTTTAAAATAGTGTCAGTACAATACAATGCAAATTGTCGACTTAATTGTGGTGCAACCAGCACACACACTCCAAGAACCTACCACGGTAAAACACGGCTGCTGGCAGTGGTGACACTTGATTCTAATACTCATCCTCAAGTGGGCTCTGCTGGTTGCAGGGAGCACGGCACTCCATAGCACACAGGAGCCAGCCCAATCAAATGCCGCAGCCGACACACACTCCTCGCTTCCGCCACAGTCCCTCCCACACACACACACTTGCACTCCGGAAGCACCAACACCGAATCCCCCCTCTCCCCACCTCTCCACTCCTCTTTCTCACACAGTTCCACCTTCTCACACTCACACGAACCACCCCCACGCTTCTCCCTCTCCCCAACCCCACTCCCACACCCCACCACCCGAGCCTTCCCAACCCAGCTTTCCAGAATCCGCTGTGAGTATCTGTCAATGTCCCCATCTGTGACGTCCCACAGGTTACCCACGATGGCAGGGCAGCCAGCAGCCAGGTAGTTGAGTGGTACGCCCAGGGGCTCGTAGTCCCCGCGGGGGGAGAGGCGAGCACTGCTGCAGCCCATGAGGAGAGAGAGCGCACAGCGAGAGAGCTTCTTGAGGTACGAGCGATGCAGGTACTGCTCACCTGGTGGTGGGAAATGGGGGGGGAGTGGGGAGAAAGATGGTTGAGGAGAGGAGAGGAAAGAAGAGAGGGGAAGGTGGAGATTGAGAAGAGGGAAGGGCGAGGGGTGTGTGTGTGGAGGGGCGCACATGTGATGAAGGCTTGGAAGGCGAACAGAAATGGAGCTCAACAGTGAGAGGCATTTGGAAAGTGACAACGAGAGTCATTACCACTTTCCTCTGATTTGTTAGCATGTCTGAGTAGATTTCACACGATTTGTTCCTTCACTTACCGATTGTCGGAACACGTACCATGCTTGTTGAAACGGAAGATACGTGCACGATCAGGGGGGGGGGGGGGAATCGGAGCCATCAGGGGTTGAAACTACGCTACCAATGCACAAAATTAGCGCTTCTGTGCGACATTGCCGTGCCAAGGGAGACGAAATCAGCAAATGGCTTTATAAAACCCATACCCATCCTTAACTCTGTCCAATTTTCAAAATTGAAAATGGTTTTATTGACTCTCTGCAGTAAAAAATGGTATTTGGAGAAAACTGGCTGGGGTTGGCAATGTTGGCAACTTTGTGAGGGGTTGAGGTAGAAATCTCAACTCCAATGAGTTAGGGAGTAGTGTCGAGATGTTGCAATTTTCCCGAAAATCAGGTGAATTGTTGGACATTCCAAGTCCAAGGCAGCGTTCAGCATCCGAATCGGAGGGTCGAATCAGGCCCTCCGGATCCGGGCCATGGTCGGCCCCAGTGGGGTGCCCTCGGCCCGTCACATATATCCAAACTGGCTTGTGGTCATCCCTACACAGCGTGGTACAACACATGGTTAAGTCTGTACAATAGGATTTAGTTACAGGTAGGGTTAAGCAAGGAAACGAACACCTGTTCGGTTCACCTCGAACGTGTTCAGTGTTCGCCCAAACACGTTCGGTGTTCGCCTCGCTATTGCTGCCGAGCCGCGTTGAACACGAACGCGTTCGTGTTCGACACGGGGCTTCTACGAACACTAATGTGTTCGTCGACGAATTGACCCGCGACCATTAACACGCAGATCTGGCATTTCGCCGTCAGTTAAGTGCAGATCGGGGGTTTCGCCGCCAGTTAAGTAAAGATTTGGCATTTCGCCGTTAGTTAAATATAGATCGGGGATTTCGCCGTCAGCTACGTAAAGATCTGGCATTTCACCGTCAGTTATGTGAAGATCTAGCATTTCGCCGTTAGTTACGCAAGGATCTAGCATCTCGCTGTCAGTTACGTGAAGATCTAGCATTTCGCCGTCAGTTACATGAAGATCTAGCATTTCGCCGTCAGTTACACGCACGTCCTGGCACTAGCATGGTTGAAGCAGGGCGGGACTGACTCGGAGGGTGGGGGAGGAAATGTGCCACGATTTGAATTTGACTCAATTTGGACCTTACAGCCACCTAACAAATGTTAACAATTCACAATCCACAAACATGTGACTGTAGTGAATGAAGCCCCCGGGCGAACACGAACGTGTTTGCCACGAACACGTTTGTGTTCGCCTCCGACACCAAGGTGTTCGCCTTCACAGGCGAATGGCGAACACCTTTTTTCTGCTAAAACTGTTCGCGAACCGAACAATGTTCTGTTCGCCAAACAGCAGTGTTCATGCAAGGGCGAATGCGAACACGTTCGTGTTCGAGTCTTGCTCAAGCCTAGGTACAGGGTACGAAGGTTGGAGAGGAACCCGAGTCCAGTGGGTAAGGGTCCTGAGATGCTGTTGCCCGCCAGGTCTCTGATGAGAGTGTAGAGTGATGGACGCATGGCAGAAGACCATGGGTGCATGGAAAGCTGTTGAGGTGCCTCGAACATTACTCGCCAGGCCTCCAATGGAGGTGCATGAGTGAGACATGAGATTAGCAAGAAAGGATAATGAGGAACAAGGACATCATATGTGAAGGTACTACAGAGCAGCGAGTGGTGGTGGACTATGCTTGTACGTTTCCGAAATCATGGCAAACAAAAGGTACGTGGATTACATGGCTTCGAGATTGGTGAGGGTCGTAATAGATGCAGGCAAGGTCCCTGATAGCTGGTTGAAGGCCAAGGAACTGCAGAGGTCACGCACAAGACAATAAAAGGAAAATCTTACTGGTTTAGGCGACATAGGAGATGGTATGGATGGTGTAGGTAATAAAAGCACATGGCGGTAGATGTCTCACATGGCGTTGAGTGAAGTCAGCATGCTGATTGATTGTGGTATGGATCCTGTGAAGTTGTTGTCTCCTAATAACCTGGAGTGGGATGGGAAACGAGTGAACAACAAGAATCTCACAAAATTGAACACAAAACTTTGAACGGAAACATTCAGTCCCATGAGCCTGAACGTTCCCCCAAACCTTCTTCCATAGCACCAATTTGCTGGCCGTGCCAGACTTACAAGTATGCAAGAGATGTGTTCCAATGTGCAAAATCGGGAAGAGGGCCCGACAATCGATTTCCTTGAAGGTTCCTGTCACCACAAACACATCGCCAAAACTGTTCCTTACAAATCCATCAAGATAAATATTGGTCAATAATGGCGTGCCCATCCAAAAGACCTCAAGGATAGTCAGCAGCCCGTGTTTCCTATCCCACAGCTGTTCTCATTCCTTTTCAACTCATAGGAACGTACAATATGCTGATGGATTCTGTTACAAATATGCTGGGCAGGCTTCCACTAAGTTGGTTGTCATTCAAACTTCTGATAGGTGTTCCATGTGGAAGAGACAGTGGTGGAAAAAAAAAAACAGAGTGGTGGGAAGCAAGGAAATGCCATGAGAAATAGAAACACAGTGAGCAATCTGGGGAAAAAAAGAGCAATGCGCAGCGTGCAAGTGTGCAGTGCAGCACCTGCTTGGCCGTGCCGGGCCACGCATGATGCATGCATTCATTTTGCAACACTAACAGGCGGTTCAGACTAGGCATGAGCAACATGTAGACCTGTCCCCATGGGTCAAGACCCAAGGAAGCCGACCTGATTCAGGCTTGTAGGGTCGGGTCACCTGTGGCGAATCGGGTCGACCGTTCCGCCACTCGAACTCAATGTCTGCGGATCGGCAATTTGGTGGCCGACCTGCACTGCACACGCGAATATGCTTGCCATCTAGGCTAACATCTGGCTTAGAAATCGGCCAGATTGTTCAAGCAATAATTAACTGGATATTCAAGTTGCCCAATTCCTCCCAAATTGTTACTGCGGAGATACACTTTACAACGAGAGCTGGACTACGATGGAAGATACGGGTTGTATGAGTGATCGTAGCGTTCCTTAATGTTTTCTCTACTTGCGCATTCACAACGAGAACTGGCAAGAGCTTCACTAGAGAAAGTTGTGAACAACAATAGTTGAAATGGTAATGACAAAACAGACTACGTCAGAGCCTAGCAACCTAACACGCAAGCTGGTCGACCGCCAGCACAGCAAGGTCGACACTTTGTCAGCGTTGCGTAAAGGTACCACGCCAGCGTTGTGTAGAGGCACCGCGCTAGCGTTGCAGAAAGGCGACCTGCCAACGCTGCACCAAAGCGGCCTGCCAACGTTGCATCCGTAGTGACAGTAGCGCAGGCGAAGCGGGTGCGCGGCGACGGTCGAGCACGTTGCCCACGTCGCGCGGGTGCCAAGTCGGTCACGTGCCAACGATCGCGCCTGAAGAGCCACGTCGGTCTCGGGATACAAGCCCGAGGTCGCCTTTGCCATCACGGCCTCGACAAAGCCCACATGCCTCCGCAAAACCTCGTCGGGGAGGTAACGTTGTCGACTGAGTCGACCACCCAGCGCTCTGGTCAACGACCTCCCTCATCGACCACCGCTCCGCCGAAGACCACCCTGGTCGACGAACCCCTCCGTCGACCAACTCGGTCAGCCGCTGCCGTCGTACTCCCACCTTTGACAGCCAGGTCGATGACCACCTTCGTCGACCTGCCCCGTCGAAATCGGCCACCGGCTTCCCGTCGGCGGAATTGCAGCGATCGCCCATAGGTCGACCACCTTGTCGACCTGCACGCCCAAGTCGGCGTCGACCTCTGGCTACGGTCGGCCACACCTTCTGCGCACCCGACCACGGAGTCAGCTTCGCCCGAGCGAGGGCGGGGCCAACACTCGTTCCTATTAACAATTACCACCCTCAATTGCTTTCTCACTACCTGCTGTAGGGGGCATAGCTTTGCTACACGACTCCCCTTCCGCTCACAGTTCAGCCGCTACTCTTTACCCTAGTCCTATCGCCTTGCCTAGCTCTCACATGGTGTCTACCATCAAGACGAGTCGACCGACCTGAGATTTGTGTTGTGGCCCAATGACATGTTGGGTCGGCCCGTCTTGATGGGTCGCTAATACCTATTTACCTGACGGATTTTCAAGTCTGGGTCGACCCGACACCGGCTTGGAGGGTGGGGGGAGGAAAGGGTGCCATGCTTCGAGTTTTACTCACTCGAACCTTATAGCCACTAAACCTATGTCAACGTCGATGCCTAATTTGCTAGTTATCTAGTGTAATTTTCACACAGAAATGCGGTGTGACTACAGTACAACAAAGGTACAAGTCGAACCGAACATGAGCAAATTCGCCACGAACATGCTAATTTTCATTCTGAATGTACATTCTCGTGAAACATGCTAGTGTTCTGGTGAATGTAAACGGCAAAAATGCTACTGTTCGACTTTGCTGTTGAACACTCGAACACCCCACTTCAGGAATCCACTCGTGGCGAACCGAACATGTTCGGTTCAACCACATGAAGTGTTTGACATGTGGTCAGCCCGATCATGTTCGTGTTCAGGATTTGCTCATGCAACAGGGGGTGTACCTGTTGGAGTAGGCTTGTTTTTGCTCTGTATATTATTCTGGCCTTACAATAATTTTAGGCCACTTTTAGGCTCGAGATCGTTTCAGGTTCCTTTATAGGTTCATTTTGGAGATCGTTTCTAAACCATATCTCTTTGCATTCAATACCTTTAACTCTCTTGACAATGCATTACTGCCACATTTCTCATCTTAACAGTACCATGAAGGACGCGAGTGGATGAAGGAATGAATGGAACGTTGACAGAAACTGATTACTTGGGCATGCACAGAACCAGACAGTTTCACGGGGCCGAGCATGGCGTTGAGGGCAGACGGCAGTAGAGGCAGGCAAGGAAGAAGCAAGGAACGATGAGTGAGCAGCACTGAGCAGGCGAAGTGCGCT